ATAGTAAAAAGATTGCATCTGATCAATTATCCTCGCGGATATTTGCAGTCACGTTTGGCCAGTTTGTTTCTCATGGTTGTCCAGTGGCCTTTGGAATCGACTGCAAGTGGTTGGAGCAGTTGTCTCGGACGACTCTGGTGACTCGTATGGATTTGATTAGTTTTCTGGGTTCCTTTAGTGTGTCAGGATTGCGAAGTGTGGGCGATTTCTTTGTTTTGTATTGGTTCCATGTCCTTGGAAAAGTCGCAGATATGTCTTCAGAGGCGTTTCGTGCAGGCATTGTTACCCATTAGAACAAGGGAGAGAGGAGAAACGGACCGATCAAACTGCCAAGGAAATTTAACAGGACTATGTTATTGTATAAATATAAACTTTATGGTAATGTTTTGCTGGTTGAAAGCAATGGAACGACCAAATATGTTATTCATCATATCCGTAGTTTTGCGTGCGAACACGAAATCCCTTATTTGCTGAACGTAAGAGAAAAATGCTGTCCGAACTGGTCTAGCGTGCGCAAAAGTTGTCCTGTGTGGAAACCGTGAGTATCAGGCGTTGTTAACAGGCACATGAGCTGAGGGAACCAGAACATATTGAGTGGTTTTATATGCGCTTAAGATATGGGTTGAGAGATCGGTTGACAGTGGTAAAGCTTACCGTTCGAACATGTATAAGAACCAGTTGAGTTACTAAGCCGGGTTTGAGACCCATGAAAATAACGTGACACGTTCAGTTATCGGATGCCAGAGAAGCAGCTGGGTGAAGGGTGAGACGGAGCGTCAAACTTGTGATAAGAGTGGGGTTTATATACTACAGCTGTAGCGACAGTACGGTTGCAAAGCCAGCCCTAAAGGCACCTGATTTGGCGGAAAAGGATAGGGGTTTCTACAGTGCGGCGAACAAGTCAAATATACGACAGGAAAGGTTGATACTGGGAGTCGGGTTAATTATGAGAAAGAAACCACACGCTGATAGGCCTTCAACGGTAATAACAGGAGCGAGAAGAGTTTGAATACTACCGCTTTAGCGAGAAAATGATTGTAGAGCTAGCTCTGAACGGGACCAGGAATATCAGTAGTGTGAGCAGCAGCCCCAAAAGGATGCTAGGCGTGGCACTCTAAGGTGTACATCTACAGCGGAACGTTGGAGTCAAATAGATTGCTAGTTATAACGCACTGATTAGTGAGTTGCTGGCAGCCTGATTAGTTAATATACTAGAGCGGCACTCTTTATTGTGCTCGGCATAGACTGATAGGTGTACAGTGTTGAATACAAGAGAGTGATAGACAGCCATATTTGCAACAGCTGTAGAGAGAAAACGACAGTAGTGCCGGCTCCGGAAGTGACTAAGGGTAGGGGAATAATACAGACAGAACCGCCAAGTTCTAAGTGTTTCACCCGACGAGTTACGATATGGACCACAAGAAGTGCAGAACAAGTATACAGTAGAGTATGGTTAAACAGAGGAGTGGATGAGATCCGAAAAAGTTCAAGTGCTCAGAAGCTGGCGGTGGTGGAATAAGAAAGACAACAGTCTGCTAGGCGGAAACGTGAACACTACATAGAGTATGGCAGCCGATGCGCGAAAGAAAAGAGGCCTTGGTTTGAGACCTGTAGGCGTTTGGAGCCTTAGAGGCCGGACGGGTTTAAAAGGTTTAAGAAAGAGAGGCACAGTGGCAAAAGGAATCTAGCGAGGCCATGGATGTTGCGCTGACGCTAGTGGTACCTATACTACCATGGAACAGCTGTGCTATGAACCAAAAGGGATGCTAAGCCAGAGAGGGAGACGTTGATAAGAGCTGAGAAGCATGATAGTGGTGCCGAGACGCAACACTCAATCAGAGACCGGAAATTTCAATTTCGGTAGGCAGGACCAAGCATACCGATAAGGAATCAGACGGAGGCGAGTGTCATGAGGCTGTTACTTATACCAGTGGGAAACTTAGTCAATGGCAGAAGATGTTCAAAAGAAGACAGGCCTTGGTTTGAGACTTAAAGGCATTTGGAGCCTCAGAGACGGGGCTGGTTCACAAGGTTTAAGAATGAGAGGCACCGCCTTTGGAATGTTCACCTCGTTGCGCCCTTATTTCGTCCTGTAATAATACTTGATGAACCACTTTTCAGTATTCTCGCTTGCTGGGTGGTGAGCGTCGGAACGCTCCCCACTAAGACGAGAATATTTGCATATGGTTTGAGCGTCCCTCTGCTTACCTGATACAATCATACACTATCTTACAAACGCACGGCGTATATCAGTGCAATGTAGTCATGCGCATCGATTCACATCCCACTGACAAGCCGTTGAGCCAAAGATTCAATTCCTAATCAATACGTCATATTAGTCTATCCAGCAACGGGTTAATTTATAAATAAAATGCGACACTAATAAGTAACGTAAAACCGGCTGCATCTTCAGTTAAGTTTAATGAACACAGACCAGTACGTCTTATTTATCTAGTACGTTAACATTTACAGAAATCCATCTTCCATACTTCACCGCCTACAAAATATTAACTCAATTACGCTTCCCAAAGCAAGATTCTTTAAACGATTTTAAATGTTTGAAGCACCCCTGTTCCTCCAAAAGCCTCTTAAGTTCCGAAATGAGTAATCATGGACTTCGATG